GGGCTCAGGGTTTAGGATTTGTCAGGTTTAGGGTGTGGGGTTTACCCTAGGGGTCCAAGGACCCAAATAACAGGGTTTCAGGGCCCAAAGACGATTGATGTTACAGTATTTGGGCCCTAAAACGCTACTATTTGGGTCCTTGGACCCGTAGGGTTAGGGTTTAGGATTGATAGGGTTTATGGTTAGGGTTTCGGGTTGAGGTTTAGGATTTGTAGGCTTTAGGACTTAGGCTCGCACTCACAGTATAGGTTGAACTGTATAGGCCAGACAGGCTGGATGAGCCGGAAAGGCTGGGTGCATCCGATTTCCTGAAACGGTTGGGGAGTTTAGGGGTTTAGGGGATAGGGTTAAGGGTTCAGGGTTTTAGAGTTTGGGGAATCCCCCAAATAGTGTGTATCATCAATGTTTATGAGACATGGGAAGAAAAGGGCAACGACCATGTTCTGTGGCGATATTACACCATCAACAGAGAATCCATTGGTAAAGAAAACAGAAAATGAATTGGACACTGGCATTCTACACCCCCAAACTTGCCGTTCTTTGTTCAAGGTGAAGAACGGAGTCCCTAAACCCTAAACCCTGGGTCCTAAACACCTGAACCTCCCAAAAGCCGTAAACTCTAAAACCTAAATCCCTGAACCACTAATCCCCTAATCCCTAGACCCCTAAACTCTATCTGCGGCCCTATTTGAAGGATTCCTGAGCTCTGCACCCATCAGCACCAGCATGGGAGCCTGCATCCTTACTTGCGGGCCTTCCCCCCGAAAATTCGAGCTTGGCTTAGGGTTTAGGTAGGGTTTTGGGGTTTGGGGGTTCAGGGTTTTGGGGTTTAGGGTTAAAGGTGCATATAGGGGATTTGTTAAAGAAAAAGCTTAAGATTTGGGCGTGACAGGCTCCGACAGGGATACTAGATGTGCTTCCAAGCATCTTTTGTACATCCTCCCGTGTGACGCTGAAGACAAAGTCCCGGCCGGAGCCGAACATAGCCTGGCGAACGACCCTTGACCCAGAGGGTCCATGTACCCAATATTTAGGTCCCCTTAAAGGGATATATAGGGGATATATAGGGTTTAGGGTTTAGGGTTCTAAGGGTCCATGTACCCAATATTTGGGTACTTGGGTTTAGGGTAATAGTATTTATAGTATAGGTTTTGGGTACGTATATGATTATTAGGTACTTGGATCCTTAGGGTGGACTACCTTTAGAACCTTGTCCCGCCTTTAGAGCGGAGGACCTCCTTGCATGTCATTTTCTACTTCCAGCAGAACCCTAAGGGTCCAAGCACCCAATAACCCAAGTACCCAAATATTGGGTGACCCTCTGGGGAAGCTGAACCCTTGAAATAATAGCACCAGAAACGTGGACTTTCGAGACATTCGCGCCACTCTTGTTCAGCACTTTCGCAGGGCCTCATAGAGGCCGCGAAGAGCGCCGACGCTGGCCTTGCCAGTGCTTTCCATGTCTTTGGCCCAGTCTCCGAACCTTGAGAAACAAGGGTCATGCACGACTGTGAACCCTTCAATAGGGACATGAAGGAGGGCTTGCAAACCACAACAAATTTAACTGGTCACGTATTGGCTTGCTTGCTTCGGTGTACTGTGAGCTTGGAGAATTTGAAAGAAAATTTCCGTGAAGCTATGCAGAGCCCCGATCTCCCGCTCGTAGCGTCCCTTTGTATACCTTTCAAGAGGCAATCCCGAAATATCCCCCATTTTGTGAGACCAGGTTGCCAGTGTGTGGTGGCGTCAGCATTCACGCCAGGCCATCGGTCTCGCTCCGTAGTATGGATACCTCCGCAAAGGGTGGGAAATGACACTGCCCGGACTCAATAGTTTGCGTTGTCTTTTCTCCCGGTCTGTATGGTGCTGGATTTCCCGCGTTGCAGGGGAAAAGGTTTTGGACAGCGCATCTAATAGGAGCAAGTGGAGGAGAACGCGTTGAGCCTACGGTAGTTTGTCGGCCGCATACCTTCCTGAGTGAACTTGGGACAAAACATGACTCCCTTACGGGAGTGTGCGGTTTCTGTGGCTCACCCGCACCATGGTAGCATTCTTTTGGCACAAAACCCTGCAATTCCTTGCAAGGCATGATTCCCCTTCAAGCACGTTCACGTTTAGAGCTTCACTGTGAACACATCCTACGGGCATGCGCCATGTCGTTGAAACAACAACGCGCCTCTAAATACACCCTCCAGCCTGAAGCCTTTTTACCATTGATCTGGAAACTTAGCCTACAACCTTGAACCTACACCTCCAAACCCAGATCATTTTTTTCGTGACGCTGCTTATTCAGGCCTCTACATGTATACCCCTCGCCTAATGATAAGCCCACTCCCGCTCATGATGAATGCTTCAATATGGTTCAATCATACAATGCCATGCGGCGGGTGTTTAAGATAAGGAGAACTTCTTGCGAGCCCTAATCCCTAATTGAACCTGAAACCAACCAAGTGGTGTCCATTTTCTTTTCCATACTTGTATATACCCGAATAGATCTCATCCCTAAACTCTGAACATTAAAATCCTAAATCCCCAACAATATGACAGTTTCCGTTTTCTTGTCCATTCCCCTATATATCCCCAAATCGACTCTCTGTAGGAGAGCGCAGTACATTCGCAAGCCAGACAGGTGGCTCATGCCGATCGGCTGCAACAGCACGGCGCCAGGAAAGCGATCAGGTGCCTTTTGTTTTAATGCTTTTCTTCATTTTTCGGGTGTTTAGGGTTCTGACCCAAGGGATACTAGGTAGCTCTATGGTAGAAAGAAGACTTTCTAGGCTAGGAACTTGTCATGTGGTTTGAATTCGTATTCCCTGTACAGGTACTTGGGACTCTTTGCGTGAGGCCCACATGCAAGGGTCTACCATTTAAGGGTCTATGGTAGTTTCCCAAAATAGGGGACCCCTATATAGACCCAAATATACTATAGTCCTTATTATAGGGACCCCCAAAAAGGTACCCCTAATTTAGGGAGACCCCCCTATGATTTCGGGCTCCGGGTTCAAGATTAGAGCGTAGGGTTTAGGGGTCGGGAGGGAAGGTAGTGAAATGGTTGGGCATACTAAATTTACGGGATATCATATGGATGTAACCCAAAGGGTCCTAATGCCTGTACAAGGGCTTCTAACTCAAACCATACTAGTTCCTAGTATAGAAACTTTACTTTCTACCAGAGAGGTACCTAGGATCCCTCCTTGGGTAAGGGCTTCCTGGACTACGTGGGGTGCTCACGGGGGGATAGCGCAGGCCCATCACAGCAGCGCTTTTGCAAGAAATGCTTACAATGTGCATATATGAAAATATAAGAACCCAATATAGTCAAATGAAGTACGCAGAGAACTCTACGGAGCAGTGCTCCAGGGTTAGGTGTGCAGGGTAGAATTCCGACTCGAAGTTTCAGCTGTAGGCTGCTGGGTTTGTCCGCCACCAAAGAGACAACTGCATAGTACTGGAAATGTGGGTATGTACTGGACTACAGAAACACATACTACAAGAGAAGAAGATGCTAGGCATACAGCTCAACACGCAGAATGTCTAGAAAACTATGATTTTCATCCCAAATGCAAACGTAGATCGCGATGCCCATAGACAGACCATAGACAGACCCTGAGACCACAAGCCGTATAAAGTCTGACCCTCAAACGCCTCGCTCGTTGCAGTCCCAACCCTGCAGCTAATTCCAACAACATGTTCCATGTTCTTGTACAGCTGGTTCCCGAATATTCTCATACATCCTCCCCTATACTTACCCAAGCCTAGATATCCTACACCCTAAGCCCTAAACCCTAAACCTGCCCCAAGGCTTGAAGTCGAGGCAAAATCCTGAGTATCACCACCGAGCAGCTTCCTTCATCAGACGCAGCTGAAAGGAAGGGCCAATGCAAGATCCTGAAGTCGTTTAGGGATTAGGGCTTAGGTTGGGTACTGCCCCCACCCTGTAACAGTCTATATTGGGGGGGTCACATTAGGGCTACATATGGGTGGTTGTCAAAA